TTCGTCATCCATGATTGGGATCGATGTTGAGGTTAAAATTGTCGTCGGTGTTTTTGTTCATTGTCGCACCATCTGGTTGTTTGTTGCTTGATTGGTTGTTTATATTGTTAATAGTTTTGTCGTTTTTATTGAAAATCCATTCACGGATTAGTACGGAGCTGGGCCAGTTTGAAGGCGACATCACCTTGTTGAATTCCGCCGCTGGTACGCACAGTCTGAATGATGTAAAGCTTGGAGGATCGTCTGTGTCATTTTTCTTCGAGACAGGGAGACATGTGATGACCTTGATGCCTTTGCTCTCGCAGTGTTTCACAATCATGGTGCTGTTTGGAAGGTCAACGTTGCCCACGTAAAAAATTTTTTTCTTTATTATTTGTTTGGAAGCAGTAAAAAAAGAATCATCTGCTTGTGAGCCGACAATCTTTGAGGGTTTGTTTGAAGTATTTTTATTGTTTGCCGTTTTGTTTATCGGTGGAAGCAATCTCGATTTATTTTTTTGCTTGCTTCTTTGGACTAATGTAAAATTGTCATCAACTTGACTGTCATCTGATTGTGTTTCATTTTTCATCTTGTTAACCCAAGAAATTTTAGGATTTATAACCGGAGTATTTGTTATTTCTTTGCTGTCGTTCAGGTGGATATTGTTGTTGTTGTACGTTTTATCTGAACTTGTTGAAGTGTTGTTTGTACATGTCAATGCAGCTGTCAACTTGTTTAGAACATTTTTATTTGTGTCCAACAATTGGTTTATTTTATTTTCAAAAAACGAAAAAATTGTGTTAATGATGGCAGAAAGGAGGATGATGAAAACATTTCACGTAACAATATTAACAATATTGGAACAATATTAAAGGACAAAGTTGATAAATTTGATGTTGTTAAACAGTTTAGACTGAGCAAAAAAACCGAGAAAACCAGACCGCTGCTTGTCAGGCTGAAGTCTAAGTCTTTGAAAAATTTGATTATGGAAAACTTGTCAAATCTGAAGAATCTTGATGAAGATTTGAGGGGGATCAGCGTCGGGCATGACTTGACAAAGGAGCAGAGAAATGATTGTAAAAAACTGATTGAGACTGCAAGAGAAAAGGATAAAGATAGAGCAGATAAACAGGATTTTGTATACCGAGTGACTGGGGAACTGGGGAACTGGAGAATAAGACGACTACCAAAGAAATCGACTTTTGCGATGTCAAAAGTGGAAAAAATTATAAATTAGATGCTGATGGCTTTGGACGTGTTAATGGTGATGCTGACGAAACTTTATCTGTTGATAATGATCTTAAACTTACTGTTCATTTGGGTTTGTTAAACATTAGATCTATATTATCCAAGTTTAATGTAATTTTTGGTTTAATCTCTGAAGGATTGGATATATTTGTTGTTGCAGAGACCTGGCATGGATCTTCTGACAGCCTATCAGTGGGATTATCGTTGCCTCCGGGTTATCGTTTTATAGATGCGGTTAGGGCTGGTGATCCTTTCCATGGAGGTTTGATAATATTTCTTGGACCGTCTTGCAAGTATAGACGGATTGTTGTGCCTACAGTCACTACGTTTGAGGTTTTAGCAGTTAAACTTATTATTGATCGACAGGATTTTATATTATTGGCTGTGTATCGACCGGGTTCGGTTCAACCTTCGGTGCTGTTTTTTAAAGAGTTAACGGTTGTTCTTGATAGTATAACGGTTTTGAATTCTAGGATAGTACTGGCAGGAGATTTCAACATTCATGTTGAAAGAGGTAGTGACACTCACGCGGCGACTCTGGGGGATATATTTGAAAATTATTGTTTAGTCAATCACACAAAGGAACCAACTCATATTCTTGGTGGCACACTTGATCTAGTGGTCACTTCAGTAGATTTTCCAGTTATAGACTGTTCGGTCCATCCTAGTGGTGTTTATTCTGACCATAGCTTTATTCGAGTAGCTTTGTCAATTACTCGTAACCACTCTTTTAATATTTGCAAAAAAATCAGATCCTGGAATCGAATGGACAATGACGGCTTTACTAGAGTTTTTTTGGAATCCGCGATATCGAGACCTTGCATAAGTGATAACCTTGACGCTGAATTTCAATTGTTTCTCAATGAATCTCTACGAATTGCTGGTGTAATTGCACCTGTTCGAACTGTCTTGACTAAACGGGATCGTGTTGCCCCATGGTTTGATGATGAGTGTTATCGTTTGAAGCGATTATGCAGGAAAAAAGAACGAATTTTTAGAAGGAGTCATCAATCTATTCATCGAGAAGAATGGAAAAGAGCTTTAGATGAAAAATC